GTGGGCTGCGCTTTGTGCTGTGTCATTGCGCCGGCTCGGGTGGGGGGCGGGAGCTCCTCCCAGGCCCGGGTCGGGGCGCGAGGATCCGAGCCCGCCCTGCCTCTCTGCCACTTGCGGGTCTCCGCGCCTGGCCGCCTTGTTTCCTCTCCGCAGGTGCTGACCCGGCTGGGGGTTACCGGCCAGTGGCGCTTCGCGGACGTGCTGGGACTGGAGGAGGAGACTCTGGGCTCGGTGCCAGCGCCTGCCTGCGCCCTGCTGCTGCTCTTTCCCCTCACCGCCCAGGTAGGGCGTGGGGCCTGGGGTGCACAGGCCCTGGACTGTGCGCGCTCCCCCAAACCCGAGTGAGGCTGTGAGGACAGTGTAGGCTCTACTCCCATCCTGGCCTGGGCGCCCAGACCTGGTAAAATTCCCCTGTCCTTGTGGGGGATAGAGGGAGAAACTCGCACTTTCAGGGTATCAACTCACTGGGGGTCCTGTGGTAATAAGAGTTTATTGCCTCCTCGCTCATCCATCGGGGTTAAGCATTGCCTTAAATTTGGAGGAGAAGCAGCATCTCCGTTCTATCATGCCAGTTATCACGAAGACAGTTCATCCTGTTTATGAGTGCAGTTTTCTGAGCCTTCCACTCCAAGGGATGGCTGGTTGTTTTCCTCTAAGGGCTATGACCTGTCATTTTATTGTTTGGTTCTCAAACTCCCACCTTGCTGTAAAAAAAAAGGGGGGGGGGTGGAATGGGCTTGCCTAAACCACAAGAAAGCAATAGGTTCTTAGAGAATAAAAATTCTTTACCTCCACTGCCTGGGTCTTTAGTGGACTCAAGGGTTTCTTCCCACCCCTCCACTCCCCGCAATATGCAGACTTGGTTTTTAGCCTCTCCAATGTGCTTTTCTAAAAAGCTTAATCATTTGTGTATGGTTCCTGTGTGGGAGTCCCCTATCTCTCTTGACCTCTTTCCTCTCTGACCTTGTACAAGTGAAATAGGTGGATATTTAGTCCAGTCTTGGAAATACCTTTTCATTTCCCTTTAGGTGGTCTTCCTCCTATAAATAAATGTGCATGGATATATGTACCTCAAACACTGAGCTTCGAATATAAAAAGGTAGCTGGGATAATCCATCTCTTGGATGCATGGAGTCCCACTAATTATCATGGCATTGCCTACTCCAGTTGCTGTCACTTGAGCCCTGATTTAGGAGTAGTTGAAATTTGCTTTAGCCAAACTTGGGGCATTAGCATATGAGGCATCGTTCCAAATGCAGAGTGAGCTTAACTGAAGCACCATCCTAAGGCTGGGTGTTCTAGAAGCATCCTCAGTAGTTAAGCCCTGTGGGAAGTTCCAGGTGCACCTCCTAGAAAATGGGCTAAGTATTGTGGGTTAAAACACATTAAAGCTATTAGGATAATCCCACCGACCTTTTTTATTGCAAAGCCTTTACTTTAGGTGAAAATGGAGCTGCTAAATAATTGCTAGTCAAATTAGCTTCCCTGTTGGTCAAATCAAACGCAATTTTCTCTCTCTCATGTGAGCCTCTCACAGAGCTTTCTTGTTAGAGGAACCATGATGACTCGGAGGTTTTTGAGCAGAGCACTCAAAGGCAAGGCCTCTGGGAGGCAGTGGTGCACCGTGTTTATCTTGCAAAACCCCACTAGTCTTGTGCTGGATCAAGCTGCTCTTGCTTAGAGAACATTCTAACTTGAATGTTTTGTGTTTGAAAGCACTCGATACTTTGTCCTTTAGCTCCAGTTCAGTCCCTTAGATTTATTGAACACCTGTTCTGAGACACAAGCTAAATACTGAAGCAAATTCAAAGAATGGTTGAGGTTTATAGGTTGACTTCCAAACGAGCTTATGTTAGCATAGAAAGCATCTAATTTTGTCTAAGAGAATATTATGAAATCCTAAATGAACTACTTCTAAAACATTTTAAGCAGTCATGAAATATGCAGAGAAGTGTCTCCAGGCAAGAGCTCAAATAGCTCTAAAGGATGATGCTATCCCATTATAAAAAGTTAAACCTTAGAAAAGAGAAAACCTTTGTTGATGAGTAACTCAATTCAGGGGTCCAGTGGGTGGGTATATGATGCTGAAACTTTACCTCCTGGTTAGAGTTTAAGTTGATCTTGTGGAACAAGAGAGCTTATTCCTCGAGTGGTACCACAGACACAGGCTTAAACTTCAGTTCCACATACAGTGATGAAAGGTTCTCGAATTGGAGATGTATGTACTTCAGGGGTTCTGTCTGATTTATACTGATTATAAGAAATTGGTGTTTCTATAGCATCAGCACCCTGCCTTTAACTGAGAAGTCATGCCTCTAAGGTTTTTAAAACTGTTAGTGAAAGGGCCACACAAGTCCACTAAATTACAGAGAGCTAATGATGCTTTGAGCAAAACTACCTCTGTTCTCGAACTGTATATTTGGCAGAAACAAACAAGTCACATCTTCCTCTTGTAGGATGAGGAGTTTTTGTGAAGTCACAGCCCAGCACCCTGGACCAGTTGTCTTTCCTTTCTAAAGACGGATGAGGGAATAGTTAATTTCTTTAAATTGCTCCTTTCTGTAGTTAAGTCTTGTTTTGTTTTTGAAGACACGGATACTTGGACAGGATAGAAGAACAGCGAGCTGTAAACTAGCTGATGTTCTTGTGTGTTCAGTTGACCAACGCTTGATTGGAATGTCTGTGAAAAATAGCCATTGTTAGTGTGAAAGGAAGAAAATAATGAACTTGACTGTTTTTCTGACTTAGGACATCATCCATTTCCAGCTAAAAGGTTGCAGTGGTGTCTAGACAGAGCCTTGGGTGATATCCAGGGCCGTCCCTGCACTGCAGCATCAGTGTGCAGTCTCAGAGCCTCTCGGAACCCCGCGGGCTGGCGTGGGTGTAGGAGGCAGACAGGCCACTCCCTGGGCACCGGCCAGCCCCTAGAACCCCACTTGTGTTTCCATTTAGGTGCTGGAACTCACTGTGCTGCCATCTGTTCTTTGCATTTTCATTTTGAGATATACAAATGTTTTTTACACTCACAGCATGAGAACTTCAGGAAAAAACAGATTGAAGAACTGAAGGGACAGGAAGTCAGCCCTAAGGTGTACTTCATGAAGCAGACCATTGGGAACTCCTGTGGCACCATCGGGCTTATCCATGCAGTGGCCAATAATCAGGACAAACTGGAGTTTGGTGAGTGTGGGTTTTGAAACCAGTCATCCTCTGGTTGACCTCTGGTTAAGTGTAATGCTTCCTTCCAGCACCCCTAAAGGGCTATTCAGTATAGTCGTGGCCTTAAATTTTTTTGAAACCTACTCACGCAGATAGAATCAGTGGGTGAATTCTCATTGTTCCTCTCTCTTGAAGAAAGGAAACTCAATTTTCCAAGAAGCGGGGTGTGGCGTCCTCTACCTGGGCAGGCAGAGCAGGTGATAACGCAGTTGTGCGCTGCTCCCTGCCTGGGTTCTTCCATGTGCAGACAGCAGCCTTCATGTTCTCATGTGCTCCTGTTTTATTCTCAGCAATTCTGAAGGATTAGAGATGATGTTGAGCCATAAAATATCTGCTCTTAGGACCTGTCTTTATGGCACTGTGTCTCATAAGCAATAGGAGAACCGAAGTGGCCTAGAGCAGCCGGACCTAGCGGGAGAGTTTCTGCAGGGAGGCGTAGCAGCCTGCTGAATCCCCAAGAGATCCAGCTGTGAACAGAGGCGGGCCAGGGGTTTTAGCTCACCTCCAGTGGGTGCTGTGGGGGGTACAGAAGAGACGAGTCTCAGCCATTAAGTTGTCAGAAGCACAGTTAATAGCACCGAAATGTGTTAAATACATGGCCTTGTGTGTGATTTAGGCCATGGATCAACAAATTTTCTTAAAAGGCCAGCGGGTAAACCTTTTAGGCTTGGAGGGCCGTATGGTCTTTACCCTCGTAGTACAAAAGCAGCCATAGACAAGATGTAAAGCGAGAGATATCGCTTCATCCCAATAAAACTTTATTTACGAAAATCGGTGGCAGTAGCTTGCCAACTCCTGATTTAGGCAATGGATGGGGGTGGCTGAGTATTGAATAACTTCAGCTAACAGTCCATGTAGGGCTTGTAGCAGGTCAAATGCTCTTTAAAACACACACAGACGCGCACACACATAAGGGAAGTGTGGCCAAGGCTCTACTTGTGGTACACTTTTGAAATATAAAAAAAAAAAAGAGGCTTGTCTGGCCATAAAAATCCTGATCTAGAAGTTGCTTTTCCAAGTATTGATTCGACTGAGTCATATTAAAAAATTGTAGCTTGATTCTTTTTATTTCTTCTGTATTGAGTATCATGTTTAGGATACTTGTTCCTAAGTCACAGAGTACTGTAACTCTCGTAAACACGGTCATGAGGGTGCCGAAGACTTCATCTGAGTCATAACCCTCCTCGTAAAGTTAAGAGGATTCCTATAACTTCCAGATTTTGAATTTAGGGCTGAAAGTTCAAATTGAGGCCTATTAAAATGCAAATTGCTCTTGCCTTAGCTAGGTATTCAGTATCTCCTAGACTCATCCACCCAGAGCAGTGACTAAATGCTGGTGCCAGCCATCAACCGGGCAGTTGTGTCTAGGCCAGACTGTTAGCTCTTTGCATGTCTATTTAAGATCTTTAGGTTAATGACTGCTGGATAACCATATTACTAAGATCGTATTTTCTAGTCTGAAATAAAAAAATCTTGGTTTGTGAACTGTTACTGGATTAGAATGCTACTATTACATCATGTATGTAGTGAACATTAATTGTGCATTGCTAGGTGCTGCTGATAACAGCAGTAGACAAAAGTGCCTGCCTTTATGGCACCAAAAATCTCAAAATATGTGTCACAAGTGGGTAAGTGCTGTAGCCGAGTTGGTCAGGGATTTGAGAGACGAGGGTACAGCGGGAGGCGAAGGGGTCGGCTGGCAGGAAGCAGATGGGAGGAAGAGCTTGGCACTGGAGGAACAGAGAGTTCTCTGGCTTGGGTGCAGTGAGAAGGGAGTGGTTGGAAGAAGAGGCCAGGGAAGGACAGACAGCTTATCCACACTCTAGGAGTCTGTGGTAAAAATTCAGGTCGTCAAACGTCAGATGCGATGGCTTAGGTCAGCAATAAATGTGTATCCATTTGCATCACACCTATACTAATAAATGCTTTTTTTTTTAAGAGGATGGGTCAGTTCTGAAACAGTTTCTTTCTGAAACGGAGAAGTTGTCCCCTGAAGACAGAGCAAAATGCTTTGAAAAGAATGAGGTAGGAAGAGAACTTCTAAAACATTGATTTTTTTTTTTCAATAACTCTGGAGGTTTTTGTGCTAATTACTCTCCTTTCTGCAGGCTATCCAGGCAGCTCATGATGCTGTGGCACAGGAGGGCCAGTGTCGGGTAAATACATGTCAGAGCCAGGCTGCCCGTGTGTCACCTGTGTTTCCCCTGAACTGTGTTCAAGAGTCTCTCATGGAATCCAGCAAATACTTTCACCCAAGGCCGAGTAACGCTAGAAAATTTTGCCAGAATAATTGCCTTGACCAGACCTGGTCGTTAAAATGGCTCATCAAAATATTTAATTGGTGGTTCACACAGCTTGAGTAAATTCAAGCTGATGGTGTTTTATTTAGATCCAAATGAGTCTAATAGAGTAACATCCCTCTTCATAATGGAACATTTCAAGTACTCTCCTCATGGATTGTTGGAGAGTAAGATATACCAGTAAGGACTAACATTTTCTGGACAGCTTAAATGTACCATTAATCTGAACAGAGCCTTCACGTCAGCTGTTAGATTTAAGCCGGTGACAGTGCTTATGCAAGTACAGTTGGCTCTGCGGCTTTCTGGTCTCGACCTTGTGTGAGGTGCTTATGCTCCCTAAGCCTTAATTTCTCCAGTAAAAAGCGAGCCATAGAGTTCTGAGAGTTACAGAATATCTTCCTTCATGGTCTTAGAATAGGGACTATTATATAGGAAACAAATATTAGCAATGATTTAAAAAACAGGCAAGTCACTTCAAGCATATTCCATTTAGAGAATTTATTTTTAACAAATTAAGTTCCGCTTATAAAAAAGATACTGCAAAATATGTGTATCGAACCAGCAGGTTGTAGACCTTAAACTTACACAATATTATGTCCCTTACATCCTAATAAAGCAAAAAAAATTTTAAATGCAGTGTATAATACAGTGAAAAATAGTCATTTTCAACAACATGTCTTGACTCTTCAGGTAGATGACAAAGTGAACTTTCACTTCATTCTGTTTAACAACGTGGATGGCCACCTCTATGAACTTGGTACGTTTCATTCCAGTTTTAGAATCTAATATAGCTGCATGCATTCTCTTAGACATAATTCCTCTTACAGTATTGGTGTGTGACTTTATGGTGGCGCTTAGTAGGTCTTTGTTTATAAAGCCAGAACAGCAGTGTATTCTCGTGGGGCCGCTAACCCCTTATCGTACCTGGAGCACCTCCCTCAGGCAGCTGACCTGTGGAATGAATAATCTTAGTCACAAACCAGTAAAGAGAATTGATCAAGTTCAAGGTGTACGTGTTCAGGTTTTCTCTTTCCACCTTCTGCTGTAGCATCACCAGTACAGGGTTTCTGCCATCATCCTTTTCAGACAAGGAGTACTTTGGGGAAAAGATAAATGCCTGAACATGACCTGGCTGTGTAAAAAGAATTTGGACGTGTTGGAGTAATTTCTATTAGCTGGTGTGTGGCAACAAGAAGGATCATCCATCTTTGTATTAAGAAGAATCATCTGCTTTGTATTAATGGAGAAAGGCAGCTGTGTTGTCTCAAGGAAAGATATTACCTATGGGCAAGTGAGGGCAAAGAAAACTTGGGGCCAGTTAGCAGTCATTGCGGGGCAAATGAAATCTCAAGGATCCCTTTTCCTTGCCTCCACCTTCCCTGTACGTCAGACACTGCATCTGACTTTTGCTCTGTGGTCTTTCCCAAGATGGGCACCAGCCCTTCTATTAGGGTAGTTAGCTTGGGCTGATACGGTCTTGGTGCTTATACACTAGAATTGCCTGGGATGGATATTTAGGAACACTTGAACCTCATTTCCAGCCTGTTGTTTCATAACCAGCCTTCCCTGTGTGGGAATGTCAGGGTATTTGGAAGAATCTAAAACTTCTCTTTAAGGTGGACAAGCACGGTAGCCAGCTAACGTGCAGAGAAAACTGGCATGCTTCTCTTTTTTTGTTCTAGATGGACGGATGCCTTTTCCAGTGAATCATGGCACCAGTTCTGAGGACTCACTGCTGCAGGTAATCTTTGGAATCCATTTCCACCAAGGCCCACATTTCTTCAGCCAAATTGTCTATTCTAAAGTGCAAACCTTTTTCAGTACGGCTGGCACCAATCATCTGGGTTAAGAGCAGTCTTTTTAGGGCATAAAGATCATCTTAGTAATTCTATCTACCTTATCTTACAGCAGATGGTTTTAGGCAGGGTCCTTTACAGCAGCCCTGAATAATCTGCATGTGCTGTCTTTAGGTCACACTTAAAATGAGCCTGAAAGCCATTGCTTACTTCTTTGTGGGATTAAGGTGACCATTGTCCTCTTGGCTAATTACATCATAGCCAGTGACTCAGACTCAGAGAACAGCAACCCGAGCCTATCCAATTCCCTTTCTGACTGCTGGATGTGGGTCAGTCTTGTAGGATACTGTGGATTCTGGTTGGGCAGTTAACTTCATGAGATTTTTCTTCCCACGTGATCCACTGTTACAGGTCAAGGGAAGCAAATTCAGAACATGCCTGACAAGAACTTTAAGATCTCGGGTCACTGAGTAACCATCCTGCTACAAGTGACTGCAGAAACCTCTTTAAGTAAAATACTAGTCCTCTTTACCCTAAAAACAAATCTCTAGAGTTGAATCAATTTGCTGTTATAAAGGAAAATTCTTCACTGTGATAAAATAAAAAATGGTGTTGATATAACTGCTTCATTTGTCATAACAGCTACATTTTTTTTACACACGTCCTGTGTGCAGACCAGGGGTTGGCAAACTTTTTCTGCAAAGAGCCAGGAAATATTTTAGTTAGGTTTTGTGTAGCATATGGGCTCTGTTGCAAGTATTCAGTTCTGCTGTGACAGCTCCAGAGTAGCCCATGGGCAATGTCTCAGTGAAAGTGTATGGCTGTATTCCACTAAAACTTTGTTCACAAAAGTAGGCAGCAGGCTAGATTTGGCTCACAGACTGCAGTTTGCTGACTCTGTGCTGGATGCTAAGAGGTAGTTAATTATTACTCACATTTTACAGATGAGGAAACTGAGGTGCAGAGGTAAGTGATGCCAAGGTCAATGACAAACTGTAGATCCATGATTCAAATCTGGACAGTCTGTCTCTAGAGTCTGCTCTTAACCACTGCACAATACTACCTGTCTTTATAATAGACCTGTTTTGGAAACATCATAGACATGATGACCTCAAGGTGCGAGTGGACCAGATTATGCTCTCTAGGAGGGAGGGTCACTTTCTCTAGTCTGCTGTCAGATACACCTGAGATCAATTAATGAGAATAGTGGGGGTGGGGATTTGCAGGAGAGTCAGGATTTACTTACAGGAGAGAGAACAGAGGCAGAACTTCTGGTTATGACCTATTTGGAGAAAAAGACTTCTACAAAAGCTTCTAAGGTACATATTAACTCATATCTAACAGTATACTAATAATACAGGCACACCTCAGAGATATCGTGGGTTGGGTTCCAGACCACCACAATAAAGCAAATATCACAATAAAGAGAGAATTTGGGGATGTTTTGGTTTCCCAGTGCATATAGAAGTTATAGTTACACTATACTGTAGTCTATTAAGCATTATGTCTAAAAAAAAAGTACATTCCTTAATTAAAAATACTGTTAAAAATGCTGACCATCATCTGAGCCTTCAGTGAGTCAGTTTTTTTGCAATAGTAACATCAAAGATCACTGATACACAGGTCATCATAACAAACATAATAAAAGTTTGAAATATTGTGACAATTACCCAAATGTGACATAGAGACAAGAAGTAAGCAAATGCTATCAGAAAAATGGTTCCAGTAGACTTGGTCCATGCAGGATTGCCACAAACCTTCAGTGCAGCACGATAAAGTGAAGGACAGTAACATGAGGTCTGACTGCTCCGTAACGTGCTCCGAGCAGGGCGCCTAAAACTGTGTGTCAGTAGAATTTGAGGTGTGGGAAGGTAAAACCTTTTTGTTAAAAAAAAAACCTAATTAGAATCTTATTTACAATTAGCTGAATATAAACCAGCATCTTAATTAGTGAAAATTCTTATCCTAAGTAAGGCTGGTTCTATATGGTTAGAGATGTTTTAGGTTGACAAAACTATATCCTGAATTAACTATTAACTGGTGAGAAAATACATAAACTTAACCCAAGCATCTTAAACTTGAGTGAATCAGGTCACTGGCTGTTGTCTGTGTAGCGAATGGCTGTTGTCTTTAGAGGCACACCCTTAGTATTAATCTGCACCGTGGGTCCTAAAGCAGAGTGGATCTGGGGCAGGCAGGTTTGGAATATCAATATATTAAAAATTCTGATAGAATGAAATATGTAGATGTTACTCTAGATCCTCTATAGTTTTTCTGAGTGGTTCCAAAGCAGGAACAAAACTGGTGTGGTTGATGCTTTTTAAGGACCAAAACTCACTATTGAGTTGATTGTTAGACCTTGGGAGCTGATGTTCCATGACTGTTCTTTGTCACAGTATCCACTATCTTCTTAAAGGTCTTACATTTAATATTGTTGATGGGACTGTCTTTCCACTGGACTTTTTACAAATTGGACACAGTGATGGATATTCTGATCGCAAGGCAGTTAAACCCTAGAATTTGGCAAATAACATAGGGATCAATTTTCTAGTGCCAGTCTTTGTAATCTGAGCCCTTAGAATTAGTAACACATGTCATTCCTTGAGTTTATAAGAATCCATCACTTATCTGTACTGGAATACCAGGTATTTAAATTTTAAGTCTGTTGTGTAAAATGTTTACTTGGAAAAAAAATGTCTCTGAAAATTTGTTAGAATTTTTCCCTTATGGCAGAGAAATCAATCTTCGGTCTTTGGATTTCAGGGAAAGAGCACCAAAAGAGCAGTTTTCTTGTCAAAACCAGGCACAGGTGGCAGAAGCAGAGAGCGTTTGGTAGAAGTAATAAAGGAATCAAAGTTTCTGAGGCCAGATCTGTGATGTGGGTCCCTGTCTTTCCCATCACTTGATTTTTTCCCCCCTCTTGCCTCAAATTTAATGGGAGGTTTAAAGTCCGTCAGGGTGAACTTTGGGCATTAGCAGGCCTTAGTGATACTGTCCCCTGGAAGCTTTCATTTCGAGCTGCTGCTGTTCAGACATGAATTAATTGACGTTTCTCCTTCTCAGGACGCCGCCAAGGTCTGCAGAGAATTCACTGAGCGTGAGCAAGGGGAAGTCCGCTTCTCTGCTGTGGCCCTCTGCAAGGCAGCCTAATGCCCCGTGGAGGGGACTGGCTCTCTCCCTGCGTCCCTTCATCGTGAAAGTATACCCCTACCTGCGCGGTCCAGAAGCTTCAGTCCTCCCAGAGCACAGCTCTCCTCCTTCCGTTCTGCAGATAAGCGCCTGCCCTCAGCCACGCCCACGCGCTCAGCTGTCATTGAGCAGTTTGGTGTCAGCCTCAGACGGCGAAGCGAGCCCCTCGTGTGTGTCGTACCTCAGTATCTAACGCTTTAATGGCTCCTTTGGTTTGTGTCTGTAAGTTAGGGCCTTGGATGTGGTCTAATTGTTCTTAAAAGGAATAAAACTTTTCTGCTGATAAGAGATGAGCCTAAACTTTTCATTTTTTCTTTTACCTTCCTCTGCCCTCTCCAGTATATCCCAAGTTATTTTCGTAGTAATTATATATATCTTCTACATAAGAACTCACACAGCACAGGTAAGAAAATTACATTAAAATATCAGTTAACTATGTCTCTAGACTTTTTCCTATATGTTTGTTACTGTGCATAACTGTAGATGGTTTAAAAAATTAAACAGACAATTTTTGGAATAATTTATTTTTATTGAAATATAGTTGACAATACAATGTTAGTTTCAGATGGACAACAGTGATTTGACGTTTAAATATGTTATGAAATGATACAATAAGCCTAGTAACCATCTGTCCCTTTAGTTATTACAGTATTGTTGACCATATTCCTTACGCTGTAAGAATAATTTTAGATATACAGAAAAATTAAGAAGATACTATAGAGTTCCCATATACCCCCCATCCATTTCCCCGGTAGCATCTTGCATTAGTATGATACATTTGTTACAACTGATAATACTATTGACTGAAGTCCAATCCTTATTCAGATTTCCTTGGTTTTCACTTAATGTCTTTTTCCTTTTGTGGGGTCCCATCCAGGATACACCTTAGGCTCCTCTTGGCTAAGACAGTTTCTGAGACTTTTGTTTTGATAACTTTGACAGTTTCAAGGAGTACTGATCCAGTATTTTGTAGGATGCCCCTTTCTTGGGATTTGCCTAATGTTTTTCTCATAAGTAGATCAGGGTTATGAGTTGTGAGGGGAGGAAGATCACAGTGGTAAGGTGCTAGTCTCATCTCATCACATCAAGGGTACATGCTCTCCACAAGCCTTATCATGGTTAATGCTAACCTTGGTCACCTGGCTAGGTCGTGTTAGGTTTCTCCACAGTGACGTTACTTCCCCCCCTCCCGCCCCCTACCATACTGGAAGGAAGTCCATGCGTAGCCAATCCTATAGGAGTAGGGAGTTGAATTACATTCCATCTTGAAGGTGGAGTATCTATATAAATTATTTGGAATTCTTTTGAAAGGCAGATATTTGTCTCTTATCCTCTATTTAATCATTTATATCAGTATGAACTCATGGATATTTTATACTCTGAGTTACGATCCAGTACTACATTTTGTTACTGAAATTGTTCCAGCTTTGGCCCTTGAGAGCTATTTCAGTTGGCTCCTGTGTCCCTTTGACATACCCCAACCAATGTGGGGTTTTGCTTTTTTTTTCCTCCAGGATTTCTTTGCAGAATCAAAAAAAGTCATTTGTTAAACCTTACTATTTTATAGATAAGGATACACTAATATGTAATGCAAAGGCTTGCATTTGTTCTCAACAATTGATACTTGAATATAACAGGTCTAATTGCTTAGAGTTGAAGCCAAGGAGGTGCAATTTCAGTTCTAACTTGGTGTGTGACTGCCATACAGTCACCTAGGAGATTGCCTTAGGGGAAAGTGATATGTGATATCATATAGTATTTGTCATTCTCTATCTTATTTCACTTAGCATAATGCCCTCCAAGTCCGTCCATGTTGCTGCCAATGACAAAACTGCAGTGTTATCACTGAGTAGTATTCCATTGTATGTATATGCCACAACTTCTTCATCCATTCAACTGCTGATGATCAGTTAGGTTGCTTCCATATCTTGGCAGTTGTAAATAATGCTGCTGTGAGCATTGAGGTGCATGTATCTTTTTGAATTAGTTTTTTTTTTTTTTGGCTATATACCCAGGAGTAGAATTGCTGGGTCAAATGGTAGTTCTATTTTTAGTTTTTTGAGAAATCTGCATACTGCTTTTCACAGTGGCTGCAACAATTTACATTCCCACCAACGGTGTACGAGGGTTCCCTTTTCTCCACATCCTCGCCAACATTTGTTTTTGGTGTTCTTTTTGATAATGGCCATTCCAACAGGTGTGAGGTGATAGTTCACTGTGGTTTTGATTTGCATTTCTCTGATAATTAGCGATGTTGAGCATCTTTTCTTTTGCTTGTTGGCCATCAGCATGTCCCCTTGGGAAAAATGTCTATTCAGTTCTGCCCATTTTTTAATTGGGTTGTTTTTTTGATGTTGAGTTGTATGAGCTGTTTGTATACGTTGGATATTAATCCTTTATCAGTTATATCATTTGCAAATATTTTCTGCCATTCAGAAGGCTTTTTTATTTTGTTGATGTTTTCCTTTGCGTTTAGGTTTAATTAGGTCTCATTTCTTTATTTTTGGTTTTATTTTCTTTGCTTAAGGAGATGGAGCCAAAAAATTGCTGTGATTTTTGTCAAAGAGTGTTCTTGTGTTTTTCTCTAGCAGTTTTATAGTATCTGGCCTTACACTTAGGTCTTTAATCCATTTTGAGTTAATTTTTGTACATGGTGTTAGAGAATGTGATAGAGATGTCTGTGTAGTGCTTTCAACAGGCAAAGCCACCCGATGCTAAGTATCCCTCCTTTTTAACTAACACCCAAAATGTCCAGTTGAGGAATATTTAAGTTACACATCTATTCAGTATCATACGGTCTGTCTTAAGGACCCAAGAACATGAAAAAAATGTTCATGCATGAAACTAGTGAAAGAGTTTTGTAAACTGTGTGCATATGTGTTTAGAAAAGACAGGACCATAATAGCTAAATGTTTACTATATTCGAAGTTAAACTTAGTCATCATGTGAGATTGGTATTATCCCCATTTTGCAGATAGAAAACTAAGGCACAGGGAAGCTTAAGCAACTTGCCCAAGGTTACCGGGCTAATAAAGGATGTTGTGGACATCAAACCCAAGCGGAGTGGCTCTGAGAGCCCACAATATTAATGATCATTGCTGGGCAGAGGTGGACCTAACTTTAGGTGAATGATAGTTAAGCTTTAGGGCCCCACACTTGAATGACCCCTTGCAATATCCTGGCTTGTGTGTCCCTGTGAAATTCACAATTTCTTAACCTGGGTCTGCTTCTGTTTCTGCGTGTTGAGATTATGGGTGATTTAACTTTATACCTTCATCTTCCAAGCTTTCTAAAATTGCATATTACTTTTATTAAAAAAAAACTTAAGTTTTTCTCTGGAACTGTTGTGAATGAATTAACTGAATGAATTCTGTAATGAGGTGCTGCTGGTTAATTTAGCATACCTCCCAAGTTTCTTCAATTTATAACTGAAGTCAGTGCAACTTACTTAGTCTTCTGTCTTCTAGGGGCTTCATTACAAAGCTACGTTAGAACTTTAAATAATCATCTTTCGGTTCTCCAAAGCCTCCACTTACTTGAAACATGTTCAGTTTCTTCCACGCCCTGCCCTGGTAAATAATGACTTGACATCCTGGCCTGGGAGTTGCTTTCTGTGTCCTTTGAATGATGTGATGTTATTAACTATTTGTGTTATAGCAGTGAGCTGTTCACCTGTTTGATTCTTGACCCAGCTTGGCATCCACTAAGGAACAAGGTGCTGCTTGGTGGAGCAGTGAACCGTGGGCTGCTGTGGATGCTGGTGTGGTCGGGCAGTCTGGTGCAATCGTGTAGAATGGGGCCGACAGGACCGCTCCCAGGACTGTGAGCTGAATTAAGCCACATAGAGCTCAGCACATCGTGAGCACACTTTCGAGCATTTCTATTAATGTGACGTAAACCATTATAGGAGCTGAATGTATGTATTTGAATATTTATGAACAAAGGAGAAAGAAGCAGAGAAATCTCAGCAAATGAAGTAGTTAAGTTCTCTGTTAGTGTGAAATACCTGGATTTGGACAATTTAAACCACTTGATAGTTTCCTTCATGTTAATATCCTTAACCTGATTCAAAATCAGATTTTATAATTGTCTTCCTACTCTTCGGAATCAGACGCTTTCCATAGTGTTAACCGTTCTTTAAAAATAGGCTTTTAATTTTTAAAAAATCTTACCTTAGTACATTTGTCACAATGAATGAATTAACGTTGATACTTTATCATTAATTTAAATTCCTACTGTGTTTCTTTAGTTTTCACCAAATGTCCTTTCTTGTTCCAGAATCCCGTCTAGGATACCATATGGCATATAGTTGTCATGTCTCCCTAGGCTCTTCCTGGCCGTGTTTTACTGAACTAAAACCAATGATGCTGACTTAGGGTGCTGCTTTGGCTCTTGTCAATTCCTCTCGTCCATGGTCTCCTGGGGCTGCGCCAGGCAGCATAGCTTTGTGGTTGAGAGCTGAGGTTTGTGCCATCAGCTCCACCCCGTACCAGATGGGTGCCTTGGCCATCTTAACTCTTCCAAAGCCCCGATTTCTTCATCTGTAAAGTGGGTTCAGTATCTGCCTCATAGGGTTGTGAAAGCACAGGAGAATACATGTGGAGTCCTTGGGGTGTGCTAAACACAGTAAATGCTATAGCTTTCATTTTTGACACCACCTATCTTCTCTGCATCCATCTCTCCTTTTAAATATCCAGTGTTTGGGCATTAAGTCCAATATGAATGGCACCTGAATTCCCTATTTTACATTCAAACACCCTGAACAGTAGGAAGACAAAAGCTTTATTTAAAACTATACTTACTGTTTCCAGTAGGTGGCAGCAAAGGAAAACTTCTGGCAACTTCAGAGCTCAGTAGGTTTGAACAAAAGTTGAGCCAGGAGAGAGAAACCAGTAGCTTTTGGTGACTAGCTCTTCTGGGCAAGATGGAGAAGTGTGACACAGCCTGGGCCTTCATTTTGGCCCATTGTTTTGGACTGGACTAACCAGTCCTGGTATAGATTGGCTAAAGCAGCCTGACTTGCTTTTTGGGCTATCCATAGTTTTGCCCAGGTTCTGTGTATTTTGTCATAAAAATAAATAGAAATAAGCAGTATTAATTTCAAATCACAGATTCATCAAGTAAATGCTTTCTCTTCTGATGTTGAATTAGATATTATCCCAAATACAAATGATTTGATAATTCTAGAATCAATTCTACATCTAGTAGAACCTGGCTTTCAACATCTTAGCATTCGATACTAGTGGAATTAATGGTATGATCCTGACTCGTTAGAGCTTTACGAAA